TGGTGGAATGATTGGGTTTGGCAGACTGAGGTTATTCTCTGTGCCTGTCTGTGGGAGAGTCAAATAACTTCTTGGTCAGTCTGTAGAGTATGTCTAATCAGCAGCCCCAGTGCTGGTCACAGCCCGGGATGCTCCAAGGTAACATAGCCTAGTGGCAGAGCAGAGGGGTGTCTCCAGAGGTCCCAGGGCACTGCATTTTGACACGTGAGTTTAGCCCCCAACGAAGCAGCCTTAAAACAGACACTGCGTAATGGCCTGTTCTGCATTTGTATTTCATTTGCCTCCCATATGGGATCAGTTTTTCCCTTTTCTTTATTTTTTTAATAGTGTTTTTCCTAGTCATAATAATCAGCATCCCCACCCCCCCTCCCATTTTTACACAGCTGGATTTGATTGGTTTCAGTCCTGCAGATGCTCCTTCTGACTGAGAAGAAGGGGCAAAGGTTCCCTTCTTTTCAGTGCAAAGCAGACGACCTTGCCGGAGGGGTGGGGGAGGCCCACGCGCTCCCTCACTAGACTCTTTGCTGTGGCCCCGACCGGCCTCTTGTGTAACTGGCGAGGTTTGCCAAATTGCGAGATAATTTCTGTGCCGAAGGCCTGGAGAAGATCACAAACTGTTGATGGTGTGCATGCCCCTTCTCTCACTCTGTTTGGAAACAACTGTTCTTGCAAGTGAGAGGGGCAGGCTCCCCAAATGTGTTGTGCTCACAGGCTGTGGATTTAAAGGATCAGAGTGCTTCTGTGATCTGGCCTGGCAAAGAGACCTGGGAGTACACTGAGGCTGACTGGACTTCTGTTTCAGTGTGCCATTAGTCTTAGGGCAACTGTGGCCGCACGTTTCTGATTGTATATAGTATGTGGCACAGGGCACAGTTAACCTGTGTAACTCTGGGTTATTCCTCATCTAAAGGAACTGGCAAATGTTTGAATAAAAAAAAAAAAAAAAACCACCTTGAGTGCACAAACTGATGTGGAAAAAAAAAAACCTGTCAGATGGACAGGCAGACTTCACTGATTTTTAGGGCGTGAGTCAAATACAAATTGCGTGGCAGAAAGGAGAAATTTCCCTCTGAGGCCACCTAATTCACAACTGCCTGGTGTGGGGTTTCTAGCAACTTCCTTTGAAGCAGCTTGCGCTGGTCACTGTCGGAGACGGACCGTTAAGGAGATGGCCACTTGGCTGATGTGTTATGGCTATTCCTGCATTCCAAGCACCATCCAAGAGAATGAGACATAGCATTGCACAAGAGCAGAAGAAAGTAAATGTTTACAGGCATAACGCACATTTCAGCTTGTTACATGTTCCTGAGCAGTGAGAGAAATGAAACAATAATTAAAACAGGTCCCAAGTCTCTGTGTGTATCTTGGCTTGCAGCATAGTCTTCTTGGAGCACTGCCTCTGCCTCTCTCTGATCCCAGGCTGAGCAGTACCACTGGGCCGTTACATCCAGGTCAAGGTCTTTCCAGTTACTCCAAGTACATTGTCTTTCTGAGAACTGCAAAACCCTTTTGGTGAGGCAGCTTTATGGCTTGCAATAGATTTGGGTTCTTGATGCTTTCCTTCGCACAGTGATAATTGTGCAGGACTCCTGGCTGACTAGGAGACACTTGTCATGAGTATCTGAAGTGTTAGTGTGAGGTAAATTTATAGATTGTTTTATCCCTGTGGGAGGAAAGAGGGCGGGGGGAAGAGTAGAAGAGCAGAGCTGAAAGTAAGTGGACATTTAAATCATTTCTTCTCTGAATTATCCCTTTTTAATGGTCTCATTTGGCTTTTTGCATCTTCAGCTAAGCTATCAGAGTGCCACGGGCCTGACATAGCTAAGGACTGTATCGTTACACCTGACAGCTGTGCCGGGAAGTCAGCGTGAGTAATTGCCTCTGCTCTCCTGCTCAGAGTGTAAGGTTAGTCCCAGCAAGGCTTGGAAATAGGGAGAGAGCAGAGAGATGTCTCTAAAACACAGTCTTCCCAGAAACACTGTATGGCTGATGGTCCCTGTGTATCCCTCCCTTCCCCCAAGCTTGGCATTGTCTTGGCCTTTGCACTGAGAGGAGAACTTAGGTCACCCTGAAGGTTAGTTCTTGGCAAGAAGAAAGATCTTTTTAGTAGTGATCAGCCCACTATGCACATGGCACAGGAAGACAAACCTCAGGGTGTTTTTTGTGTCCGCAATGTGCACTGCATTGGTCTGAGATGTAAACTCAATATCCATTTATGAGCAATAGCCTTAGCTGCTGACTCACTCGCATCACTTTTCGTGATTCTCTCAGTTGAGCAGTGAGCTGGCCAGATATTATTCATTTTACTTGAAATAATAAGATTATGTCTGTTGAAGGTATAAATGTCTAGGCTTCCTATAAGGAACAGCTTGAAATCTCAGTAGTGTTCAGCAGCTAGTGCAGCAGAGTATCTCCAAGATCACGCCTGCAGTGTTGTCTTTCTACCTGTGTGTCAGTCAGGACAAATGTCCGTAGCCGTTGCTGAGTCTGCAAGTGGGTTGGATCTGTCGTCTGGCTTATAAAATAAAGGATGTTTTTAAGAGGTGACAGTTACATGGCCTCTTGTCTTATGCGACCAAGTTATTTAAAGTTCTTGTTGTGATGGAGAAATGCTGACTTTTCTGTAGGGCAAGTTGCAACCTGCTTCTATGCAATGTTCTGTTACGGCTTCTCTTTAACCTTGAGAAAACTAGATTTGATTTGAGAATTGCTGGATTTATTCTGAGAGCAAATGATAATGTTTGAGTGAAATCAGGAAGAAATAAATTGGCCAGTGTGCTTTTGAGTCATAAAATCATGAAAAATGACTTTGATGTTTGTGTTCCTTTTGCTCAAACAGTTTACCACCAGCTCTTCAAAGTTTTTGTGTCGTTAAATCTCCTTAATAACTTGGATAGCAGCTATTGTTGAGGAGAATACAAAATAACTCACCACCATTAGAAACACTTATTGTTGTACACTGTGTGGGGCTCCCAGCTTGGGAGTTAAGGTGCCAAATCTAGTCCTGTTACTGGTGATGGAAAGTTGTTTTGTTCTCCCTTTTCAAGTGAAGTTTCAGTGGATATAATACAGAGCAAAATAGATGGGCATGATGACATTTCTCTAGCTGAGAGCTATCAGAAATCTTCCTGTAAAGATTATCTCCCTTGGTCTTATTGGAGTAGTAAAGGCTTGTGTTTGTAAAGCGGAAGAGTCAGCTTTTCAGAAGTCTGGTATTTTATAGAATGCTTGACACAAAAGCCATAATTCCGGGATTTTGATTCCCTTGTTAAGTCTCATGCTTTCAAATTCTTGGAGCTAATTTTCATTGACAATAGGAACATTCCTTGAAAAATGCTGATGTAATGAAGTACGTGCTACTTGAGATTAAAAGATTTATTCAGTGACTCCTTTTTGAAACTTTTGCAAAGTGTCTTAACATTTTTATGTTTCTCTAACTGCCAACAAAATCACATTGCACCACACAGTTTGCAACATTAGTCAGGTTTTGACACTGGCTCACGCAAGAGGCAGTTTTCACAGTCAGGAATCATAAGATGTTAAAGAAATTGCCATTATTTGAAAACTAGACACAGTTCAGTGAAGCAGATGGACTTGCTAACAGTGACTTAGGAGGTCTGTAGCACAGCTGTGTTGACACGGATTACAGACAATCAAAATTGTATATAAAGTGCATGCCATAGTTTTAGTTTTAAGCATATTGCTAACATTTAATGAAGTATGTAACCTTATATGGTTTATGTATTTTTGTACTGTAGCTGCAAGTTATGCTAAGGCCTTGGCTAAACCTCCCCAGAAGTCTCCATTGCTATGTGTAACGCAGGCACATGGAACCAGAGTGCCAATAAGCCTTTGATTGAATCTTGATTAATGTAAATATGTTAAGCCTGTAGGTGCCATTTCAGGCTAGGGAGTTTCTTACAGCTTTTAACCATGTCCACATCAGAGTGAGACTCCCTTTGCTTCAGATGCTTAAGATGGTCTTTGGAAAGTATGTTTGGACTTGCTCGTGAAAGATCAGGGTTACAGACGTTTCCTGAAGCCCCTAGCTTTCTTGTTTGCAACACCATTCCAATAAAAATTAAGCCCTCAGACACACATTTAGGAAAGGAAAGAGGAAAACAGAATTGTAATATGTTTCACAACTGTGCTCTCTGATCCCAGGAGAAAGGTTGGGTAAGAAATGTTGTGTTCTTACATGCCTGTCTGTGTTCAAAGTCTTCAATTAGTTCTGTTTTACTAGGAAGGTCTCTTGGGGTAGGTGAAGAGGTTGCCTAATTGTTTCAGTGTTTTGCTGCGTTGCTTTAACTTAGTGGTTCTTTGTATGGCCAAGCATAGAAGGGGAGCAGTGATCCCTGTGATCAGTGCTGTAACATACTTTGGATGCTGCAGATGGGATGTATGATAGGAGGAGGAAGGCGTTCTGGAGCCTGATATGTCACAACAGGATCTCAATAGAGGTGAGACAGATGTTAAAAAAGAAGAAGAGTTCTGATCCTGGCTCTGATGCATCTGGTATTTTAGTACCTGTTTTGGTGCCAGATTCGTAGACTTTAGTTTGCCAAGTGAATGTGCTGAACGTGTGCAGCCTCTGGGATATGTGGAATGGGACAAGGCAACTCCAGTAATGGGGGCTCGCTTCTCTCAGAGTAAATCTTTGGGCTTTAACCCTCTAATTTACATTGCTGTCAGCACATGCTAAGAATTCTGCCATGATAACTGCAGGTGCACATGATGAGAAAGCAGGAATAGCCAGAAGAAGATGCCCAACAGGTTTTGTCCTTCCTGCTATGAGAATATTTTGCAGTGTCTTCATCTTGGAGGTGGCTTCTTCAAAGTAAAGACAGTGCATGTAATGCTGCAGGGTGGATCTATATGGAAAAAGGACTACTTATATCCTCTCCCATGCCTTTCTGTCTAGACTCTATGTGCTACAGATAATCATAGACCAATATTACTACTGTTATCAGGAATATGCCCTTACTTACCATAACCGGGAATATTTTAATCTGTCATTTCCTGAATTTTCCTGTGGACAATTCAGCCTCTTAATGTAGCGTCTTAGGACGCATTAATAGCAAAGAGCTTCTTTCCAACTCGCTCAAGACTAAGGCACAGCACCAGTTAATTTCAAAGCTCTCTACTGATGAGTATCAAGGATTTGAAATGGTGTTTGCTAATAACAGGGCCTTTGTCCTACAAGGTTGCTACAAATTGTAACCTTTCTGACTTGTCCTTTCCCCAGTAGAGTTCATATCCTTCCTTGGTGAGCATTATCAGAACTTTTCATTTTCTTCTTTTGCCTGTGGTTACTCTGTTCTAATCCCATGGTTCTTGGTGCTTCCTTGGCTTGGACACCTTTGTATAGCAACAACAGATAAAAGGGACTGGTATCCTGGTTTGTTTTTCAGGCTGACAGGCATTCATCTCCTGCTTCAGGTCTGCTTTCAGTGGAGCTCTTCTTGTCCTGCTTGTCCAAACTGTACCCAAGCAGACGCTTTCCAAAGCCACATGCTGTTCAGCAGATGTCTGGTCTTTCCCACCTCCTTGCTGCTTCAGGTATTGTTTTGGTGGCCTCTGGCTTAGTGTTCCACATGCCTTTCTGCCTCCATGCCTTTCTCTGTGGTGCGTTATGAATTTTCTATCATGTCTGCAGTGTCTGAGCGCTGTCCGTCTGCCATAAAGTTTGCTCTGGGCTGGCTGACTTCTGACTGCTTTACCAGGGTGCTTTTCTCTGACTAGTCCAGAGGCCAGTAATAGTCTGGACCCTTCCCAGAAGCTCAGGCCTTAAAATTGCAAGCTGGTGGTTTTTGTGTTTTGTGTGTGTGCTGGGGGGGGAGGGGGGGAGGGCTGTTTCCAGAAAGAAGGTGTTTTTTATGTGGAATATGTTACTTCTCAGTTAGCTGTACCACAGTTAGCCAGAGGTTACTGGAGACTTCAAAAGTGCTTCAAAAATAGCTGTGGTGAGGTTGCCTACCTTTTTCCTAGGCAAGATTTCTGGGGAGAGGCAGGATTTTTTTGTTAGACAAACCAATATAACTGGATTAAACAAGCCATAGAACAGGGCCTGACCTCTTCTTGATTTGCATGAATGGGAATATATTCAGAAAAGCCTTGTCTAGACCTCTGTTATTCCTGAAGGCTTTTGTCTGCTCCCGTCTTCCATTCTGTAAATCTTAGTTTTGTTTTAACTCTCCTATCACAAGTTGTTCAGTGCCCCCTGGAGCCTGGGGAGTTTGTGTGATTGCTTGAATTTTCAAGAACTCCAAAGCAGGCCTGTGCAACTTAAACCTCTATGTTTTTAATGGGGCCTAACCAAGGTACAATCTCCTATCGTCATTTGGCCTAACTGGGTCACTGTTATACCAGTAGGTGTAACAGTGCTACAAACGTTTGTAGACTGATGCCATTACTGTGTGATGACGTTTCTCTGGCTGTCCAAATATTTCCTCTGACTTGTATTTTCTCTAACATCATTTTTCTTCTGTTTTCTATGGCTTACAGCACATTTCTTTGGTTTCTTTTTCTTTTTTTTCATATTCTTCAACTATTTTTGCAACATGTACAAGAAAAGTGCATAACGGTAAAATATTATTGTAGGACTTGGTATGGCTACCTCTCAGTTTTTCTGCAAACATGATAGTTCTCTTCGCTTTCCTTTGTAAAATAAAAATATTTAATCAAAGTTGAAATCATATTAAAAAAAAAAAATCCTGTCAGCCTTGAAAACATGCAGTGCCTTGATTTGTGATTCCCATAAAATTGCATTGTCTTCAGCCAGAGTTAAAGAATGAATTATTGCCTTAAGCGGCAGAAAAAATGAAAAATAGTGGAACCTTGTCTCCCTCTAACGCACATGTTCTGGGGGTTACCAGTGATGTCATACCTGTGGTTGTGTCCTTGTGTTCCAGCTCCTTATTTTTAAGTAGAAATATTATTTCCTAATCTCAATAAAACAATCCAGACAGTGCATTATGGTGTAATTACTGTATCTTTCCCTTGGCTGCAGTTGCTGGAGTTCTGGCTCTGTGCATTGGAGGACCACCTTGATCGTTTTACGTTAGCTTAGTTATGCTCTGCTTATTGATTGACTGTGTTATCATGGAGAGCTGGCTTGTCATGGTGCCTGTGGAGGATGACATAGGCGTTTTGCATTTCGATTCCAATGCAGGCATGTCCTTTTTATATTGGGAAAAAAAAGTACACATGCCAACAGCCTTAAACTATACTAAAGCTGCTGCTGCCACAGCCGGAAAGCTAGCCGATAATACTTTTGCTAAAAGCCTAGCAGAACTAGCTCAGCATGCCTCAGCTCCTCTGAAAGATTTATTCCACAGCATAGTGTAGGCCAGGCAACAGACGGTGACGTCAACAGGCGTTGACGCTCTCATGAGTAGTAGCACTGCAGCCTCTACCCGTGAGCTCCTTAAAGAACAGTCATCTCTGCATCAGGTAAAGTCAAGTCCTGTCTGTCTCATCTCGTTTGTTCATTTCAACCCATAGTATGGTAACTCACAAATTAGCAGAGTGTTGACCAACTAAATTATCCTGCATGTGATGTGTTCTTCGCTGTTTCTTTCCCATTCAGTGTAACTTGAGAATTGGATCTGATCTCCTCTGTGACCTATAAAATCCTAATAAGAGCTTTACTGATGCCGCTACAATTAAAGTTGAATTGAACTTTGCACTTCAAGCATGACTTAAACATTTATTACCTGTGAAAAATTATACTATATTCTCTCCAGCTTACGCCAAGCATTCTTTGAGTACCCCATGATATTTCTGGGGGACCTTTTGCCTTAAGCCACTAAGGAACTGCATCTCTAAACCTTCTCTTACTGTGACATCTGTCCGTTTCCTGGATTTAATTCAAAGCTGCGATGGGAAGACTCCCAGTTACCTCACTGAGTTTTGGTTCAGGATCCTTTTGCATTTTCCTTCTAGCTTTCAACTTCCCTTTGCTGAGAATGATGAGAAATATTGACGTAGAAGGAACTGCTCTCATTTCCTAGATGAAATTTAACTTTTGTCTCCTATTTAGGTTGACATTGCTGTGTGAGCAGTTATACTCAATAAAAGTGCCTAATAGGAGGCTGTAGAACCAGACTTTTTCAGTGATGCACAGCAATAGGATGGGTGGCAATGGACGCAAGTTGCAAAAAGGGCAATTCCAATTAGATACTAGAAAAAAATATCACATTGAGGAGAGTGGAACACATGAATGGGGTCCAGAGAGGTTGTGGGATCTGGGATCTCTGTCCATGGGGATGTTCAAAATTCGGCTGGACAAGGTCCCATACAGCCTACTCTGAGCTGGCCATGGTTTGAGCAGGAGGTTGGACTAGATGATTTCCATTCCAAACAGAATTAGTCTGTGATATGAAGTGGTACCCATTTTTGGGGTGTGGGGGGAGAATGCAATGAGACTGAAAACAGTAGTTAATAGAGTTATAGAAGTTTCAGAGAAAGTTGATCCGGAGGATGAAATTGCTAGAAGGATGGAAGGATGTGGGGGGGAGGAACTAGATCAGTAATTTTTGACCGATGTTTGAAAAAGCTACGGTCTTGGGATTAAAGTTCAATAGGAAAAGTAACCCTATTTTCTGCAGGTTTCCATTTACTGTGCAGAAGGTCGGCACTTCTGGAAGAACCTTAGTAGTTGAAAAGGGCTGATACATGGTAGGACTCTTCATGCTGGAAAAGGGTGTGCAAGGTGTCAGATGGCCCAAATGGCCTGGGAAGGTGATACAGAAGTGCCTGTCCTTGTACACAGTAGAGAGAAAGTCCTTTTTTGCCATGAAAGTCTCTCTTCCTGATAAGTGTCTGGTGTGCGGCTTGACTATGTGGACAAACAGTGGAGACAGGGAGTAGAAGGTGTGATCTTGGCTGGAAACAAAACTCATGAAAATTGCTCAAGGCTGTTTATTGTATTGGCTAGCCTCATCCATGGTTCTGTTCAGGTCTCATTTTAGCAGTAGAGAAATGTAAAAGAGACTTCCCTGACAGGGGCAGGTTGTCCTGAACGCAAAAGAGAACCGGGTCGTTGAAATATACATGAATTTACCATGGCTGAGAAAATGCAGGGTTAATCTGCATACCTTAAGAATGATTTTCTTTACCTTATTTCTGTTATTTCACTTTGTTGTCACTTCATGTCTTTCTTGCATTTGGTCTCTGCTTTTTAAAAACTTAAAAATTTTTAGTGGAAGATTTTTTTTTTTTTTTTTTTAAGAAAATAGTCTGCAGGATAATCTGCTCTCCTAGGCAAACAAACGTTGTCTTCAGAATAAAACATGCATACACAGGAAAATTCCATTGAAGGAAAAAAAGCATTCTTGGCTTGAGCTCCTCTCAGCATTATCTGATATGAAGTATTATGTTATCCTTAGATGGACTGTTATTGTCTTCCTCCTCCTGAGCAACATGCCAGCAACCATATGTGTGTGAGTGGCTTAAACTGTATATTGAACTGTCTGCTGGCAGACTGACAGTGTGGTCAAGTGGAGAGCGCGCTCAAGTTAGGCCTCGTACCTGGCTCTGTGACTGACCAGCTGTGTAACCTCAGACAAGTTACTTTATGTCTCTATTTCCTTTCCTGTCCTTCCTCCGTTTAGACTGTGATCCCTCTGAGTGCACCTGCCCTGTGTGATGCAGCACCCTGTGGAGATGCCCAAGGTAGCTCCTGTGCTAGGAGAGATGTAGTTATGTTAGTGCGATATTGTAGCCAAGTCAAGCAGCTCAGGCGGCTGTCGGGGTTTGGCCACAGGCCACGCTGATATAGCTATCCCGTTCTTCAGAATAATGTAGTCTCCCTGTGCCGTCTTTCTCTGTCATGCCACATGGATGTCCTAGCTTGTTTGGAGTGAACTCAGGAAATCTCTGGAGGAAATGGTATCCTCGTGAGCTAAGCATGTGAAGTCCTGGTGCCCAGAGAGTGGTGAGTGATTCTCCTTGGCTGTCCTCCTCTTGCCTCCAGGTGTGTGTGTGCCAGGTCTGACACACCTGGGTCCATTCTCAGCTTAACTGAGGGAGCAACATCAGAAGGGAGTGTCAATTCTGTTTACTCTCATGAAAGCCATAAATTTTGCCTGAACTTTGTATTTATGCCTATTTCGAAAGCTTTGGCCAAATCTCTTGACCAGAGTGGCTACTTACCAACAGCTACATGAAAATATTGGCCTGTGTGGATGGCTGGTGGCGATCAGCACCAAAGGAACAATGCCGTTTGCCCTAGCCAAATGTCTGGGTAAAATGCATTTGTTAAATTGTGACTGAGAGGGGCAAGGGGAAGTATAGCTAGCGTAGGACTTGTATAGCTAGCGTATAAGTATTCAGGGCATCTAAAAATGATTGTGCCTTTATTTCCATGGTATCCATGCAAGATGATTAATAGCCAAACAGGAGTGCTTGAGCCTGGGTCTTTGTTCCTCAGAAGTTATTCATGCTCATTTCTTTTTACTGGTACCAAATAATAGTGGTGGGACTTTGCAAACTCTAGGCATGGGTGTAAAATACTACATTGGGGAATGATCTCTTTGAAATAGATTCTCAACCGTACA